TTCAATTATAGAGAAAAATAGCACAGATAGTGCGGGTGTCGAGTAAATAAAATGATCGCTCTATTGACGGTATGTTTGTTTTTTTTGCAATCCTTGTACGTGCGCTGAATTGCATCAGCAAAAGCGCGCGCGAAAACTGTGTTCGGCCACCTTAACATCTTTAGTTGTCCAAAACATCGGGATGCATTTGGCATACGATGGCGTTGCCGAAAGCGATTTTGTTCTGTACGTCATGGCCGACCTAGCGCCATACAGTCTTATCTAGTGATGCCTGCCCCGGTATCACGGAATATCGAGTGAGGACCGCACAAGAACACGGAAAAAAATACGGGTGTGGCTCAGCTGTGCTCCTGTCTAAGAGCCATCGTATGCGGGTAAACTTTGCTCAACTTGACCACTTCCTAGAATTTATTACCAGTCTACACGTAGAAATAAGCCTGCCTTTTGGCCAAAGACTACTTTCCCTGGCAGTTAGAAGTATTCTCGAAACGCCAAGTCTCATAACGATACCAGAACGAATTGTGGCACAGTACTCAGTACTGTAAGGAAGTCAACTTTACAACGTTCAGCAGATCAACCCTGCTGCGTGTCTTGTCCTCTTGTGCTGCAACGGTACGAAAATCACTTCAGGGGTTCGATTACATAGCTGCAGACGGCGGGAAGGCTTTCGACGAACTGATTGAAATGGTACTAAAGCTGAGTAATGACGACAGGGTATGGGTAAATCTGCTGAAAACTGCATGCCTGCACGGATGAGGAGGCAGAAGGGGATGGCGAAGGGGGATGCATACAGACCTATCAGAAGTACCACAACCTGGAGCGTCATTTGCTCATCGGGAAGAGCAAGCTCGTTTCGGAGAAGTATACCCTTTTAGATACCGCTAAATTGGCATACGCTGAGAGAGTTCACGAGGGCTCCACTATTCAGCCAACATTAGCTGCCCCGACCACCACTGAAGTTTCTTCAGAATGTCCCTTGTTGCAAGGCTGGTCTCTAAAAGGCACGAAAAAGGCCACCCGTTTTAACGAGAATCAGCGTCAGTACCTCGATAACAAGTTCCGGATTGAACAGGAGAGTGGCCATAAAGCCGACCCTGAGAAGGTGTCACGGGACATGCGCTATGCTAGGAGGGACTACAGTGAGCGGCGTCTCGACGTGGAAGAGTTCTTGACTGCACGGCAGATTCAGAGCTACTTTTCACGTACTGCTGCAAAATTGAAGCACGTAGTTACTGCTCAGTCAGGGCATGATTCCATCGACGATAACGATAGCCAGGCAGCCGAGAACACGAAGCTTTTTCTTCCGCCCGCTTAGCTGTCCTTCACCAATGCGAGCTGTTGCATCCCATTGTCTTTGGCACGCCGATCATATGTTCTTTGTATAGCAGCAACAAGCTGACCAAGCTCAGTGTTGCACAACTGAGGCTTATCTGCCGCTACTTCAACATGGACATAGAGGAACAACAATCAAAGTGAAAAGCGCCTTACATTACTTTTATCTCGGAACTTGTAGGGTCCTATTTTTAAGAGTGCTTGCGATGTTATCGGAATGTAAAATATCCTCTGATAATATTACTTGTCCCATTTGTTATATTTTGTTTTCATACATACTGATGTTGTTGATATCGGAATTATTCCATCTCTTGTACCGTTCGTTCGCAATTCGACCGTTCCTGAAAAATGTATTTCAAGTGCGTTATGTTGAAGTTATAAACAACAACAACAACAACAACAACAAAAATCCCACAATCGAAGTATCTGTCAGCGGTCTCATGTAACAGAGACTGTAACGCATATTTTTG